GAGGGAGGGAGGGAGGGAGAGCGGAGAAGAGGGGTGGCCAAAAAGAAGGGAGTTACAGTTCGCATGAGCTAGACCTGCACAGGGAGAAGGGAAGGAGGGAAAATGTGACCGCATTGAGATGCTGGACGACGACCAGAGTGATGGACTGTGGAGTCCACTGAGGTAGTGTGTTCCTGGGAGAAGACCATGGCATGTGGATTTCCCGACAAGCGAGTGAATGGAATCTCTCGGTCGCGGTGCTCACCGACACCGAGATAGCATCCCTCAGGGGAGATGTTTGTCGAAAGGCAGACACAGACCAGGGAGGAAACCAACCGGCTGACGGGCGGCGGGGCCAAGGATGGCATACGAAAGGCTGGCAAGGAAATGTCCACTCGCAAGCATCCGGGCAATGCAACCACCCCGCATGGCTGCTTCGGCGAGTGGAGAAGTTGCATGTGCAATGCCATTGTGCAGCCGAGGGGGGAGTGGTCGATAGCAAGGGAATGGAGGGGCAGGCGATGGTGCGATCAAGGGGGAGGGGGACGTGTAGATCGGGGAAGAATGGGGATTCTCGGGCACGATTTCGGGAGCGATCGGCCAACCAGGCGGCAGGGGACTCAGATGCGAGCCAAGGAACATCCACACCGATCGTGCAAGGACGCGTTGGCAAAGTGTACGCCACGCCGAGGGCAGGGAAAAGGAGCAGTCCCTCGGAGATGGGTCATGTGATGTCGACTCGATGTTGTGGGCTATTCCTCGGCCGGTCTCTGCTTGACCACCACAGAGGAAGAGCCCGGGCTTGGGCACGCGTGCGCGTGCGCGTAAGCACACACCATGGAGCAGGCAGACGGGAGAAGGTCGGGAAGAGGCACTCAGAGCAGTAAACCACTTTCGTGGCGCGGGGACAAACCACAAGAGCCCCCAGTCGACCCAATACCGCTAAACCAAGATATGCACCCTCGAGGAGGGAACGCACAACCGCCCTAGCCCTTTGGGCATGTCGGCCTGGGCCGCCCCACCGCATTCGGGGGACCTCGTGGGGGGGAGTCGTACAGGGTAGGAAGAGTTCATGGATTGCTCTCGGCAGGAAGGTGGCAGTCAGGGGAGAGGGGTGGGGCGAGGAGGAAGCGCCCTGGAACAGGGATATATCCCAGGGGTGGATGGAGCGCCCCCTGCAGTCGCGCCAGGGCAGGGAGGTCCAGCCCCGACTGGGGATTTTCGAAATACCACCAACACGTTCTCTCACCCTTAGGCGTAGGCACAGACATACACGCACACACACACACACACACACGCGCACACACACACACACACGCACACACAATACAGCCTCCCCAACCATTCCAGACAAAGTACACCCCCGAGGGCCCACTGCCAGGACATTCCCCGCAGTACGGTGTGCGGGGAGAGGGCACAAAGAGGGGGGTAGGTTGGTTGGGCGCGGAGGGAACAAGATCGTGGGCGTATGGTGTGCGGTAAAAGAAGGCAAACCAGGACATGAAATGCACCCCCCTGGCGGGGCCGTGAGATGAGATGGGGAGAGACAACTGTGTGTGTGTGTGTGATGTATTTCTACGGAGGAGGAGGAAGAGAAGTGGGGTCCCTTACATTCACAAATCCGCTCAAATGAGAGAACAGAATGTTCACACCGGCGCAAGCTGCGGGAGTCCATGATGATGGAGAGAGGGGAAGGAGGCTGCAAGGACAATGCCTTCACACACGTATACACCACATTGGAGGACGCAAACTGGCAAGTTGTTTGGTTGAAGACGAGGGAGGAGAGTCATATGTGAAGCGGGTATCTTAGAGGTTCGCACTGTTGCC